ATCCAACACCAACCTACAAACTCGATTTCTGATTTTATTTGGTTATAAAAATATTTAAATGACATTTAAAGAGTTCAAAATTATTTCTGATCTTTTTAACCTTTAAACTTTCAAAACACTGTGTTTGAAAAAACTGTCAAAATCTCTGTTCTGGAACCTTCACCTGCAGATGGAGGGACTAACCATGTTAATCTTGGATCATTGGATCCAAGATTGGATCCAATGATCCAATCATTGGATCCAATTACTTGGATCATTCATTACTATTTATTTGCTTCCATGGTCGTAGTTTTGTCAGAACTCAACAGCTTCTGCAGTTGTCAAACATATAGCTGCAGCCAACGAAAGATGCGAAATAACTGATTGATTAGCCACACTCTAAATTTAACCCTAAAGGTGGTATCTCACTAGTTGTTGAGCCAAAATTGCAAGAAAATATGCAAATTTTCAGTCTCAGCGCCTCTGAATTTTGATTGTTTTTGACTGAGCTGTACAGCCACATTTTAAAGCTGGGAAGTCGGTGTTTAAATATTACAGCTACATTACTTTAGTTGCCCTTCTCAGTTCACATTGTACACACCTTGGCCTATTTATTCTTTACTTTGGCTGTTGGCTCCATGTGTCTGATTTAAGCTACTGGAGTACACTTTTGAAATGAGGATGGTCCAACTTGTTTAAAAATAATTATTTTTAATAGTTAGACATGTGGGACTCTTGTCACAAATGTTTTCTGTCAGCTCCAGGTACTAACACACAGCTACAGTACGGTGGAATTTACAGAAACTAAACTGAGTAGAGTTTGAGATGCCTACAACACGACTTTTGAGAGAAAATTTGTTATCTTAAACAGGACTTTGAGCCCCTAGGACTCAGGAAGTGAGGAAGCTTCAATAAGTTAAGCTGTTCTTAATAAAAATATCATCTGTAAATATAAAACAACAACAAAGACTTATGCATAGCAGAAGGTTTCAATTCAATTCAATTCAAAAATACTTTATTGATCCCAGAGGGAAATTAGGTGTTGATCCCAGAGGGAAATTAGGTAGTTTGGTTTCACTAGCTTTGTTTATATGGACATGGGTAATCAGAATAAACGGCCAATCAGAATAAAATTGCATCATCTAGACATCCCAATTGGAATATTCTGATCTGATTCTGCTCGATCGGAATGAATTTGTAATCCAGATGAGAGGGTTGGTTTATGCCGATTGATAATCCATGTAAACATTTATTCTGATCATGTTATTCTGATTGTGTAAACCTGACCTGACTGCATGCCCTATGTCAATCTGACGTATTTCCGCCTGGCTAGATGCTAAAATGTCGAGGAAGCAAAATTGGTTTGGTAACGATACAACATTTCTATTGGAAACTTTGAAAGAGCTCAAAATGATCGAACTCCTTGATGGTCGGAAGTGTAGGAACAGAGAGTGCAGTCATAATTTGACTAAACACATCTCCACCTGCTCGATTAATACATTTCTGTTAGGTCCTCATATTTAGTTCACTTTAATTAGCGTAAAAGTGCTTTGATGTAAAACCAGCTGTGGACTGTTTGGATCCCTTTGACTCCTCATTATTGTTGTTTGTCATTCTGCTACTTCTTTTTTACTTTGATGATGGCTTCTCATCTGAGTCAGTGGGTTTCATATTCACACACATACATCATAACTATGTGTGTGTATATATGTGTGTGTGTGTACCTAATAATAAAGTCTACCTCCGTGACATTTTTCATAAGTGAGGGGCAACGTGCTGCGTTGTCTAAATATATATGTGTATCTGTGAGGTTTGGCTACAGTCAGGGAGGGATGGGGGGCAGATACAGGATTTCAGGAAAGAGATGCTTGTGTGTGCATGTGTGTGTGTGTCGGTGTGTGTGTTGTGTGCATGCACTGCAACACGACAGGCGTACAGTGAGGACCAGCTCAAAACAGTGCGACTGTATGGAGTCTGTCTGCCTGCTGGGCCATTGATGGATCTCTCCCACACTGCAACATGAAGTGTGTGTGTATGTGTGGGTTTGTGTGTGTGCATGCTTTCATCTATGCCAAGGGTGTTTTCAGTCTGAAGTGTGTGTGTGTGTGTGTGTGTGTGGGGG